TCACCTACTGGACTTGTATCCATTCACCTACTGGACTTGTATCCATTTGTCTCATGAATTTTCACTGCTCCCTGCCTGACTCTCACATGTTCTCTGCATCAGGAAGTCACACAGTGTGTTCTTGTTTCTGGGTCTAAAGAATCTAGTTTGTCTAGCACAAAGCTGAAAAGCCAGAAAAAGAATAAAGGTCACATTAATTTTCAGTTGGACACTTTAAATGAATAATACAAACAATTCAAACTGACACCATAAACACCTTAAACAGAATGTGCTGTGTGTATATGTGTGTATACATGTATATATACACATGTATGTGTATATACACAGGTATGTATATGTACATACACACATACATAGCTGATGTGTCTTTCTGCCACATAGCTGATATGACTGTCATATGTAGCTGTCTTCTGACTCTATCAGTGACTCGAGGCTCAGATTTTACCTGCAACATCAAATTCTATTTCCAGTGTTACTTTGCTCGTGATGGAAGAGTCTCTCAGGAGCTGATTGGCTTCCTCAAAGGTGCTGTCTTCTGTTGGGATTCCATTAATGGCCATGACTCTGTCTCCAATTTGTAGCACACCACACCTAGTTCAGAACCACAGGTGAGAGGCAGTAATTAGAGGAGACAATCGTGGGGTTGAACTTGCCATCCTGACTCATTTAATCTTTGCAAAATAGCATAACCATTTGATCTCCTTGAGCTGATCCTGTTGGCAAGCATGTTAGGTCAATTGCAATGTCCTGCACTCTTGAATCCCATAGTTTCAATTGTGGGCAAGGGGTTTCTTAAGTATCCCAGAGAATTAATTAATAATTCATAACTATGTTAATATTATAATCTGACCAGAATGAACAGATAGGAAAGATGAATGTACATTCCTGTAATGTAGAGACATAACCTCAGTTGGACTTTAGCCTTTTTTTTTAAATAGATTTGTCTCCTTTATAATTAATACAGCCTCTAGTATTCCAATGAACAAAATCTGCTAAATAAAATCACCCGTGCTCATAATTCTTCCAAAACCTGATCAAGAACATAAAATTTTATCATCAGAATGGAGAGTTCATTACAGTTTGTCTTTCCTGCACTGAGCCCTGGTTCCATGATTTATTAGTTATTCACAAAGAGCTGGTGTCAGAAATGCAGGGCAGAAAAGCTTCTGGGAAAGAGTACCTCACCTCTCTGCTGGGCTGTCAGCTTCAATATAGGAAATCAGAGGCGGGGAGGAGAGCGTCTCTGTGGCAAACACGCTGCCCTGCAATTGGATTCCAAAGCCCGTGACAGGATCAGCCGTCAGCACAACCTCTGTGGTTTCAGTGTGAACAACCTGTCCAGCCAATCCCACAGTGCTAGAGGCTAAAGACACTAGAGAAAGAAACAGGAAGAAAGTGACCGTAGGTTCAAGCAGGTCTCAGCATTTCCGAAATAGATTATGTCTTAACAGAAGCTCGTCTGCAATGGAGGAAGTTTAAATGCTGGCCTTACAGCAAAAAAAGTTGGATTCCTGCTGAACAGGGAAAATGCATCTCCCAGTTTGTTATGCTAGAGTCAGGACCAGGGTAGCTACTCCATGCCCCAGAGGCTGGGAAGGGACTATGGGAAAAAGACAGCCTCGGGATCAGGGTATGCCATCTAGTCCTGGGCTTTACAGATGAGCATCAACCAAACAAGACCTTGTGGCCCGTCTTTCCATCTCCACAAATCTGTCTTCTCTCTGCAAGCGGAACCGGGATGGTGGGTCTGAGTTTTCCACTTCAACCATATGTGACTGTGAACAAGGCAATCTTCTGTTTTGAGGAAACAATCTCTGTAGCCCCAGGGATGATGAGGCTGTGCTAGTCCCCAGTCTTTCTCCAGTATTGAGTGGGCATGGTGAGTCATTCAAGGTGAGTCATTCAAGTTTCATATGGTCCTCTTGTCCCAAATTTTGTTTCTCTGTTTTGTCTGGCTTAGTCTCCAGTCACCTGTTACTTCCCATTTAATTAACTTCTCTGGTATTAATGGGCATCTTTAGACAGACATTATCTATCTATCTATCTATCTATCTATCTATCTATCTATCTATCTATCTATCTATCTATCTATCTATCTATCATCTATCTATCCTGTCTCTATCATCCATCTATCTATCTATCTATCTATCTATCTATCTATCTATCTATCTATCTCATTTCCATCCCCAGCTTTGATCCTGAAAGGACCACTCCATTTCCAAATGCCTTTCTTTGCTTTGCCCACAAGATTTGGCCTCTTGTGCTTGAACATGCGATCTGTGTGCAAGGGTCCTGTGCTTTTGGGTTCACAAGCCAGATGAAGAATGGGAGAGCACTGCTCACACCTTAAACATCGTTCTGAGAGCATGGCATGGAGTGGAAGCTCTCCTTACCAAGGTTTGGGCCTACTAAACTCCATAGAGACAAAGGTCACACCATGATAAAGCCAGCTAGGCTTCTGTTACCCTGCCAGAGAACTGGCTTCTCAGAGATCACGTGACTTGCAGTCTGCTAATCTAGCTATGTTTGGAAGCCCCGCACTTCCTCCTTGTACTTTTCCCTCCCCTCTCTCCCTGAATGGAGCTATATAATCTAGCCCTGCTAGCCAATAAATGAGCTGTCCTCTGGACCAGTCTCTGGGGGGTCATTCAAACCCACCATACTCACTACCACCATTCTTGCTGCCTGAGACCCTGCTCCCCAGCTTGTCTGTACCCCAGGACTGCTGGTGTGTAACACCGATGGGGGTAGGGGACCCACAATGCTGAAATGTCACTTTGTCCAAAATGGCTCTTTCAACTTAAGCTCTTTCTAACCCTCTTCCAACTAGAACCCATTTTTGCTCTCCTACATGGGACAGAGAGAGCTTTTAGATACTCTTTGCTCACTCACAATGCTTTCCATCCTCAAACTGCTATTTTAAATTCCACATTCTATCCTTGCTTCTCCAGCCTGATCTGTAAGCTTACATTTCTGGTTTTCTTAACTCCCCCATTTCCTTGTTGATGTCACAACTTCAGTCTCCCATATCTTAGCTTTAATCTCTAGCCTTCCCTGTCCTTATCATGGTGGCAACCTTCTAACATACTGGCTTCGTGGCTGTTCGGCTCTCTCAGTGTCCTTTACTAGCAAATCCATCCTTCTTCACCTCCCCATCAATGCAGTCCATGGCTGCATCCCTTAAAAGATCCCCAAGACCTCAATAGTCGAATCCTCCTTTTTAATCACTTCCTGTATTAGTGACTTCCCCACATCCTACAGTGGAAGTGCCTTCTCTTTTGTAGCACTGTTTCCTGTTTCTTGTCTTGAAGCCTACTGCTTTTGACACAGTATTACATGCAATAGTCCTCCTTAAGCCACGGACATACCTTTGTACTTTAAATACAAAGAGAACACTGGCTGAAGTAGGGATGGGAGACTCCAAAACTCTCCACAGCCTCAGGTGAGAGACTGGGCCCTGTGATTGTAAGCCATCATCCCCCAATTGCCTTCCATTTCTATCTTTTCTCTCCACTATGTACTTGGAAGCCTGGGGACCACTTCAGTGAAGGATCTGTGACCATCAGAGATTCTTAACGCACGGTCCCCTAGGCTCTATGCTTGGTACTCTTTGCTAATGCCTAGTCACCTTCCCTTCTTGTTACCGAATTGTTAAAACCTGTCAGAAAAAGAGTCAGTTCTAAATTCTTATTACATTCCACAGGGCTCTAGAATCTTTCCGATTTAATTCCTTAAGGATCTATTTCAAATGCCTCCAGCCTCAGAAGGGCCAAATGGCATTTCCTAAGAGAATGAAAAAGATTCAACCATTTAATGAACGTTTCATAGATAAGATCCCTCCCAACCTCCGAATCCATCAAAACTGTCCTCTCTCTTTTCCTCTCTCCTTCTTTTCCCATTTCAAGGATAAATCTTCCTTATGCTGCTTGTCTTGAATCTTTAGTCTCATGTAGTCAGACTTGCTGTCAACGTAGCTGAGAGGATAACCTTGAACTCCTGACCTTCCTAGGAGCTCCCACCACCCATGTGCTATCACAATCTCTTTTGGTTTTCCCCGATTTCTAGCCCTTCTGGGATCCTTACGCCATTGAGAACATCTTCCTTGTTTCTTTTCCCTAACTCTCCCACTCGATCTCCTAGCTTTCCTGACCTTGCTCTGTAGAATTGCGCTGAATCCGACTCTGCTTCAAACTTGTCTTCTTTTACTCTTTGCTAAAACTGCTCTCGCTGATGCTTTTCTGATTGAAAAAAAAAATCAATGGCCTCATTCCCTCCAACTCAATGCAGAGACTAGCTTTGGGAACACTGTAAACTGTTCCTTAGGTGTTGATGAAGATTTGATATTAATTTCTTACTATATCAGCCCCTGACTGTATCTACTCCACCTTCCAGTATATGAAACAGATCTTCAACCTCAGTTCTGTGCACAATTTTCTGATTCTTGCCCTCACCTGCCCATATGACTTCTGTAAAATCCTGTGTCTCTGTCTCTATTTCTGTCTGTCTGCCTGCCTGCCTGCCTTCCTGCCTGCCTGCCTGTCTGTCTGTCTGTCTGTCTCTGCCTCACTGTCTGTCCCTTTCTCTGTCTTCTCTGTCTGTTTGTCCCTGACTGTCTGTTTGTCTCTGTCTATCTCCTCTCTATCCGTCTGTCTCTCTCCTCCTCTCATTTCAGCTATGAATTTTCTCACCACAGAGAATTTTTTTCATCTACAGATACATCTCAAAAGACTTCAAATTATTTTCCAAATTAGGGAAGTCATCTTGACTTTCTCATTGCCTCTCCTACGTTGAAGAAAAGATGATCCTGTTTCTCATCTTGGTCTTGAAATCTCAACATGGCCTTTGACTCACTTCCCATTGTCTCAAACTGGTCAATCGCCCAGTAACTTTTTCCACTTTTACTTTCAACCTAATTTGGGCTTTTATCTCAGCCATTCTAATACACATATATCTGGGTTCTTTAATGCCCAGGAACTTTTCAATTCTATCATCAAATGATGTCTTCTTTAATGATTATGTTCCAATACCACTTGTGTTCCGTTTGGAAGCCATACTTCATGTCAATGTATCACACAGATAATCAGCAGTCATTCGTCACCCAAACGTTTCTATCATGGAAATCACTGGAACTGATAGCATTGGGAGAATGGGTGAACCATCTTATTAAGAGAGGTAATAAAACATTGAAGAAAAAAAACTCTTTTCCTTAACAGGCTATCGTGGAAATGGAGTAGCCCTCAAATCTACTCTGCATAGCTGGTAGATGGCTTAAAATCCCAACATGTAACTTGGGGCTATCACATTAATTCTAGACCATAGTCTTTGCAATTGATGACATAAACCCACCAGCAGATACCATTTCCTATCGGCAAGAGAAAGATCTCTGAAATGACTTCTGGAGGGCACAGATATTCTTGCGGGTAAGATTATAAGAATTATTTTATTAACACACGGACAGACAGACAACAGTAGAACAAAGGCTCTGAGCAGAGTTCAGATGCCAGCATCACAGGCAGGCAGCCTGGCCTGGGGCTCTGAGGACTAGGTTGCCTTTTTCACAGCTTCCTAAGGAAGAGGGAAGACTTTGAAGTGGGATCCTGCAACAGGGTTCTCTGATTTCCCACCAGGAAGTGGGGAAGTGGGTAAGGATCAAGATGTGTGGCCATCTATACCCCCTTGACATAAATTCACCTCTCCAAGGTAGAAATCCAGGCACCTGAAGGTCTGTTGGGTAGAGGTTTGAGGGCTGTGCCCAGACCAGTGTTTATAGGAGGGTCGGGGTTATGGCAGGTACTGTGGTCTGAGCAGCACTCTGGTCTGGATACCGAAGATTACATTAAGGATCTAGAGAGCAGCTTTCCTTCTAGTCATCACCCAGAGGAGAACAGTGCTGGACATCACTTCTATGGAAGGTTACTTGAGCTCCCCTTTACGGATTTCTGAACCTTTCAACGGGTTCACCAAAGTACTCTCCTTCATTTGTGATGTCAGCTTGATGCAGCTATCTGGGACTACTTAACTAGAGCTAAAAGGTATGTTTCAAGGCTGGAGAGATGGCCAAAGGACCAATGCTCACACTCCAGCACCCACATAGGACAGTCCATAACCACCTTTAAGTCCAGTTCTAGGGAAGCTGACAACCCCTTCTGGCCTCTGGAGGTAGCTGCACATTTATTCACTCAGTCATACACACATATACACATAAAATAATAAACAGTCACATCTTAAAAGACCCCTGTGTTCGAGACAGCAGCTTCTCATCTCCACTAAGGAAGAACAAGGAGATCCTGGTTGTGGTGGTTTGAATAGACTTAGCCAAAGAGTGGCACTGTTAAAAGGTGTGGCCTTCTCATGCCTCACTGGTCAACAACA